GTGGTATTTGATTGCCTGTGCTTTTTTTTTTCTTTTTTGCGCTATAAAGACCGACAAGTTTGAGGAGAAAAACAATCTTTTTGCTATTTTGCTATTAAACATGTCCAGTAAAAAAAATGTAAAAAATCTAATTTCATCATAAATTTAGGCCAAAATGTATTCTGCTACATGTCTGCTAAAAAAAATCCCAATACGTGTAAATTAATTGGTTTACGTGAAAGTTATAGCGTCTACAAATGGCGGTATAGATACTGGGATTTTCTTTTTTTACTAGTAATGGCGGCGATCAGCGACTTATAGTAGGACTGTGGGACTGCGGCAGACATTTTGACACTGGGGGGAACTGACTTGGCGTCACTGACATCCCCAGTGACACCAATACAGTGATCAGTGCTAAAAAAAAAAGCAATGACACTGTACAAATGGCACTGGGCAGGAAGGGGTTAACATGAGGGGTGATCAAAGGGTTAACTGTGTGCAGGGAATGTTTTACTAGAGGGCGGTGTCAGTGTGCTTCACTGTAAGCACACTGCTCTGGATGGCTGTGCTGTGCACAGCCATCCAGAGCAGTGTGCCCGAGCCGACAAGTAGGAGGACTGTTAGTAAACAAAGCAGTCCTCTTCCCCATCGGAGATCCTCGGTAATCACCGGGCTGGGACCCGGTGATTGACAGCCTTGGCGCGCATCCCCTACCCGGAAATACAAAATCACGTGTGTATATACACCCCTGCCGCCCTGTAGCAGTATTTCTGCTATAGGGTGGTGGGGAAGCGGTTAAAGTAGGACAAAGAGCAATTCTTTTTTTTAAATTTTGGATACAGAAGGGGGGGCTATAACCCCTATCAATTTTTTCGCCATCTGTGTCTCATTGAAGAGGTTTCCCTTCACTTCCTGTCCCATAGCCACAACAGAAAGTGATGGGAAAGCCCTGGTTGTCACCAGACCTAGTGTCCCCATTGGAAGATTTTCCCTCTATTACTGTTCTGGGAACAACCTGAATTTTCGCAATCTTACCTCTCATTGAACAGCGCAGTCTTACCTCTCATTTATTGCCTCAGGCTGAGTGTCAGGATTTAAAGCTGAAGTCTAGTGTAAAAAAATAAATTTCTACAGCTAAGTCACATCACTTACCTGTAATGAAGGATGTGTTACATTGTGCAGACAGCTGGATCATGGAGGAGTCTTCACTGCAGAGATTCTTGTCCTCTTCCTGACTCTGGACTTCCAATGCTGGAATGGTTATCAGCTTCAGGTCTTCAGGCAGAACAGCAGTACAGATGGTCCAACGGGGACACTCCCTCTCATTCCTCCTCCTCCATTGAGAAAAGTTCTTTCATTGATTACTCAGCATGTAACATGATCTGTGATTGGGGGAGAGTCTAGTCAGTCACAGAATTTACCCCCCCCCCCCCCATTCACAGACCACATTACATGCTATGTAATCAATTAAATAACTTTTTTAAATGAAGGAGCAGGAAGGAGGGAGCATGTCTTCACTGGACCATCTGTACTGCTGTTCTGCAAGACCCACAGCAGGTAACAATTGCAGCACTGGAAGTTCAGATACAGGAAGAGGACAGGCATCCCTGTAGTGAAGATTTCTCCAGGATCCAGCCCCATCACCATACTACATAGAGACACAGAACAGGTTACAATCTGCGTGGCAATGGTGACTCTAGGAACAATATATAAGGGGGGCACATAAGATTCCACAGTCAAAACTGGGGAGGCACTAATTATTTTCACCACTGAAAAACCTAAATAAGTATATATATAAATAAGATTACAAAATACAAGAGTAATGTGGTATGCAACAAAATCTTTTCATTGTACTAACCTAACACTTGAAACACAAGCTTTCAAGAGTTTTCCTTTCTTCCTCAGGTATTGCTTCAGACCTGAGAGAGAGGAAAACTCTCAAAAGCTTTTCTTTAGAGTTTAAAGGATAGTGTACAGAGGTCAGTAGGATGTAGGGCAGTGTACAGAGGTCAGTAGGATGTAGGGCAGTGTACAGAGGTCAGTAGGATGTAGGGCAGTGTACAGAGGTCAGTAGGATGTAGGGCAGTGTACAGAGGTCAGTAGGATGTAGGGCAGTGTACAGAGGTCAGTAGGATGTAGGGCAGTGTACAGAGGTCAGTAGGATGTAGGGCAGTGTACAGAGGTCAGTAGGATGTAGGGCAGTGTACAGAGGTCAGGAGGATGTAGGGCAGTGTACAGAGGTCAGGAGGATGTAGGGCAGTGTACTGAGGTCACGAGGATGTAGGGCAGTGTACAGAGGTCAGGAGGATGTAGGGCAGTGTACTGAGGTCACGAGGATGTAGGGCAGTGTACAGAGGTCAGTAGGATGTAGGGCAGTGTACAGAGGTCAGTAGGATGTAGGGCAGTGTACAGAGGTCAGGAGGATGTAGGGCAGTGTACTGAGGTCACGAGGATGTAGGGCAGTGTACAGAGGTCAGGAGGATGTAGGGCAGTGTACAGAGGTCAGGAGGATGTAGGGCAGCGTACAGAGGTCAGTAGTATGAAGGTTAGTAGGATGTAGGGCAGTGTACAGGGGTCAGTAGTATGTAGGACTATGTACAGAGGACAGTAGGATGTAGGACTGTGTACAGAAGTCAGTAGTATGTTGGGCAGTGTACAGGGGTCAGTAGGATGTAGGGCAGTGTACAGGGGTCAGTAGGTGTACAGGGGTCAGTAGTGTGTAGGGCAGTGTACAGGAGTCAGTAGGATGTAGGGCAGTGTACAGGGGTCAGTAGGTGTACAGGGGTCAGTAGTATGTAGGGCAGTGTACAGGGGTCAGGAGGATGTAGGGCAGTGTACAGAGGTCAGTAGTATAGAGGGCAGTGTACAGAGATCAGTAGTATGAAGTGCTGTGTACAGAGGTCAGTAGTATGGAGGGCAGTGTACAGAGATCAGTAGTATGAAGGGCAGTGTACAGAGGTCAGTAGTATGAAGGGCAGTGTACAGAGGTCAGTAGTATGGAGGGCAGTGTACAGAGATCAGTAGTATGAAGGGCAGTGTACAGAGGTCAGTAGGATGTAGGGCAGTGTACAAGGATGAGTAGTATGTAAAACAGTGTACAGAGGTCAGTAGTATGAAGGTCAGTAGGATGTAGGACAGTGTACAAGGGTCAGTAGGATGTAGGGCAGTGTACAGAGGTCAGTAGTATGAAGGTCAGTAGGATGTAGGGCAGTGTACAAGGGTCAGTAGGATGTAGGGCAGTGTACAGAGGTCAGTAGTATGAAGGTCAGTAGGATGTAGGGCACTGTACAAGGGTAAGTAGGATGTAGGGCAGTGTACAGAGGTCAGTAATATGTAGGGTGGTGTCCAGAGGTCTGTAATATGTGGGGTGGTGTTCAGAGGTTAGTGGTATGTGGGGTGGTGTTCAGAGGTCTGTAATATGTGGGGTGGTGTTCAGAGGTTAGTGGTATGTGGGGTGGTGTTCAGAGGTCTGTAATATGTGGTTTGGTGTCCAAGAGTCTGTAATATGAAGGCATCAGCAGGTCAGAGGATTCCAATATCTGCAGAGTGGACATGGAGAGCTCTACACTATGGGTGGCTGGGTGTAAACAGACTCTACTGCGTTTCGATTGGCCTAAATGGAAGAGTCGGGATCCGCTTCGGTTTTATTTTCCAGCACACCCAATCAGAGTAGAGGGAGGCGGCTGTAAATGGACACAAGTCTGCTTACATCTGCCTGTCCATAGGGATGAATAGAGGGTCTGATCCGGTCCACCTCAAAAATTGACAGACAGACGTCATCGGACCTGCTGCGTGAAAGGAGCCTGAAAAGTGTAGATAGACGTAATAAAAGCGCTGTTGTTCTGTCCTTTTCCAGCAGCATTGTTCTGACTGTGAGAAACTGAAGAAGAGATGTGTGCCGGTTGCAGACTGTGACTTCTATGATAGCACGGCATCATCTGTATATCTAGAGATCCCACAGCCACAGAACCTACCGCCATTGCTCACACTGCATCAGAAGAAAGAATGGGGGAGGGGCAGGCAATCAACTCCCACCCACTCACACTGCAACGGTTCTCAGGCTCCACTTTGGGGATGCTGGCATCCAATGAGAGCGCCTGGACAGAGCTGCTGGGGGAGGAGACAGGGGGGTGATGTGTCCCCACACACAACAACGCATGCGCCTGTACGTGGGCACACAAGCGGCAATACATGTGAAAAAAAGCCCGCAGAGCCGAGTCATGAGAGCCTAATTTGGCAGGGAGGCACATTGGGGGGGGGGGTGGCAAGGAATAACCTGGGGGGGGGGCAACTGTAGTGACACCACTGCAGCCTGCCATACAAGTAGTCCTGTACTGCCAGAATGTTAGATTCGTACTGGAGACCAGCCAATGGTTCCATTTGCATATTTCATTTTCTGCAGATGTCTCGGCTTTGGATAATGGACGATGGCCCACAGCACTTTGTATGCACACTCATTATTGGGAGCTGCGAATCACAACTTACTGGCAGGAGGAGCAGGAAAGCTCCATTTCCCATAAACACATTTCAGTTTAGGATTAGAGTTAAAAAAAAAAGTAATAATAAAATATAGAGATAGCAATCAATGTGGCGTTTGCTTACAAATTGGAAAAATCTGCGGATATGTTGCGAGATGTCAAGAATTTAAAATGTTATTAAACCCATAACAGTACAATCAGTCTGTATATGTAGTAAAGCATGCTTGTTATACTCACTGTGGAACCTAAGGGGTTAATCCTCTACATTGTGTAAAAAGGCTGTTTGATCCTGTCTTCTCTGATCCTCCCTTTCTTCTACTGTCCCCAATCCATCTTCTGATAGAAGAGAGCCTTGGGGGCAAGTTGCACATGCTCAGTTTGGAGTGTATTGTTACAGGGTTTTTTTTTATGTGATTAGCACAGGGCAAATCAGCACTGTCCAGACAGAGGGTCCGGGGTCCTGCAGCCTCATAGGACAATCAATGGAGAATGAAAACTCCTCCTACAAGCTGTAACCAGTGCTTAGCTGGACACTGATAGAAGTCACAAGACTGCTATATACTGCTGATGAGAAAAGGTGTTTAGCAGTTTAAATTTACTAAAATAATTGCATTTTCATGTTGTGTGTACTGTGGGAGAGCAGATATAGTGAATGCAGGGTCCGAGGTAACCAGATATAGTGAATGCAGGGTCTGGGGAGACCAGATATAGTGCATACAGGGTCTTGGGTGTATATAGTGAATGCAGGGTCCGGGGAGAGCAGATATAGTGAATGCAGGGTCCGGGGAGAGAGCAGATATAATGAATGCAGGGTCTTGGGTTTATATAATGAATGCAGGGTCCTGGATATATAGTGAATGCAGAGTCCAGGGTTTATATAGTGAATGCGGGGGCCTGGGTGTATATAGTGAATGCAGGATCCTGGGTTTATATAATGAATGCAGAGTCCAGGGTTTATATAGTGAATGCAGGGACCCGGGTTTATATAGTGAATGCAGGGTCCCGGGTTTATATAGTGAATGCAGGGTCCCGGGTTTATATAGTGAATGCAGGGGCCCGGGTTTATATAGTGAATGCAGGATCCCGGGTTTATATAGTGAATGCAGGGTCCCGGGTTTATATAGTGAATGCAGGGGCCCGGGTTTATATAGTGAATGCAGGGTCCCGGGTTTATATAGTGAATGCAGGGGCCCGGGTTTATATAGTGAATGCAGGGGCCCGGGTTTATATAGTGAATGCAGGGTCCCGGGTTTATATAGTGAATGCAGGGTCCCGGGTTTATATAGTGAATGCAGGGGCCCGGGTTTATATAGTGAATGCAGGGGGCCGGGTTTATATAGTGAATGCAGGGGCCCGGGTTTATATAGTGAATGCAGGGTCCAGGGTTTATATAGTGAATGCAGGGTCCCGGGTTTATATAGTGAATGCAGGGTCCTGGGTTTATATAGTGAATGCAGGGTCCCGGGTTTATATAGTGAATGCAGGGCCCAGGGTTTATATAGTGAATGCAGGGTCCTGGGTTTATATAGTGAATGCAGGGCACGGGTGTAAATAGTGAAAGCAGGGTCCTGGGGGTTTAGTAACACTTTAATTGAAAGCCAAACTCTTGGCAAACCGGCATATAAGCATGTTTTATCTGACAGCGGTTTGTAATTCTGTCTAAGCTCATGACAGCACAGCCAGTAGGGTGACACCACTTTCTCTGTTATAGTTAAGAAATACAGTGGTGTCACCTCCCTACCTACAGACTGCTGATTAGACAATGATGAAGCCGCAAAACTCTGTTACATTTTAAAGAATAATTCCAGACCTCAGTATGTTATACATAGTTAATCTGCCCCAGGAAGCTGGAAATCCCTGAGGTATACACCTCTACCCCAGTGATCTCCACTAGCTTCCCGGTCCCATGCTGAGCAGCTGACCTGATTCATTATAAACACAGGAAGTCGGCCACTTATCACTGGGACCATTCATAGAATGCTTTGCATTTTCTGAATGAATGCAAAGTGTTCTCTGACTGGATGAGGCAGGGTGGTGATGTCACGTTCTCCACCTCATCCAATCAGTCTCTACTGATTTCCAGTATCCATAAGCATCATCCAGGCATGGTATATACAAGCTGGACCGTTTTACCTATATAATTTAGCTGTGCCTAGAGTAATTATTTAACCACTTCAATACTGGACACTTCCACCCTCAATTCAACTTTTAGCGCTGTCGCACATTGATTGACAATTGCGTGGTTATGCAACACTGTCAGGGGTGGACTGCCCATTTGGAAACTCGGACACTGCCCGAGGGACCGGGGTCAGTAAGGGGCCCCATGAGATGCCCCTGGTACCTTTTCATAGGCTTTTTTGAGTTTGGGTAAGGACACAGGGGCCCCATTATGCCCTATTGCCCGGGGGCTCAATGAGTTGTCAGTCCGCCCCCTGAACACTGTACCCATATGAAATTTTAATCATTTTTTTTTTAGACAGAGCTTTCTTTTGGTGTTATTTATTCAGTACTGGGTTTTTAATTTTTTTGCTAAACAAACGTAAAAAGGCTGAAAATTATGGAAAAACAACAACTTTTTTTAGTTTCTGTTACAAAAATTTGCAAATAAGTACATTTTCTTCTTCACTGATGTGCGCTGATGATGTTGCACTGATGGGCACTGATATGCTGCACTGATGCACATGGATTGGCACTAATAGGCTGCACTGATGGGCACTGACATGCTGCACTGATGCACATAGATTGGCACTGATGAGGCTGCACTGATGGCCACTGATGAGGTGGCACTGATGGACACTGATAAACTGCATTGATGGGACTGATTTATGTGTCTTCCTGCCCCAATGACCACGATTCCCCTACTTTCTTCTACTGGTGTCCTGAGGACAGGAAGTGAGGTCACTGGGATCCCAGACAAGCAAAAACAAACCTGTAAGATGTTCTAACCTTTTCCTACTTTATCTAATACCAAAGATAATGTTTGACTAGAGTTGGGCTTCAAAGAAGAAAGAGTTCAGGGTGGTTGTCACCATAGTGGCAGCTTGCTCTAAAAGTCAACAGAACAGTCAATGGTGGAACACAGGGGCACAGGGTCTTGAGAACTCCAGGCAAAGAGAGGTCATTCCAACACTCACCGTATGAAGGATGACCTAACATTACAATATTTTGGCAGGTACAAAATTTCCAATATCGGTGTTCCTTCACGGGTTGGTGACTCCCAGTGCAGTGAAGCAATTTTAAGGATGACCATCGTAGACCTTTGGCAATCACAGTTGCAGCTGCAAACTTAAACCTGGACTCGTACTGGTAGCCATGGGGGCACTGACATTTCTCTCTGAACTAACAAACTGAAAGATGTCTCTTCGGAAGGCCATCACCTGACAACTTGTGACTGATTTAACATATTTTTAGCTCAAGTGAAAGTAAAATAGTCACAGATGATGGAACACAGAGATGCAATTGCCAGACAGAATAGAGAAGCATAACAAAGACTATATGGATCAAGCTGGATACTGCTGTGTGTCTGCCATCCAGGGTTCCAGAGGTGGCTATACGGCTGATGAAAAACCTCCCTTTAGTGTCACCCAGGGGCGGATTGACAACTCATGGGGCCCCCGGGCAATAGGGGATCATGGGGCCCCTTTGTCCTTGCCCAAACTCAAAAAAGCCTATGAAAAAGGTACCAGGGGCATCTCATGGGGCCCCCTACTGACCCCTTGCCCTCGGGCAGTGCCCGGGTTTCGAAATGGTCAGTCCGCCCCTGGTGTCACCTACACCACGGTCGAATGGCATTCCTATTTTAGATGCTTTTCTGCAGGCATCTTTCACTGAAGATGGATCTCTCAAACTTCAGGGCCACACTTTCCTATGTGAACGTGCCTGGCTCTATGAGATTCCTCTTTCTTTTATGGGGCAGGAACAGCTCTACCCGTGCCTCTCCCACACGTTCACACCACAAAACCCATCTATGTAATGATTCCCAGTGAAAAGGACACCAGGTCTGGAACTCCCTAGGTTACTTGGCCCATGCTGCCCTCTCTTTGTCCTGACCAACTCTGTACTCTCGACCTCTCTGTAGCCAGTGGCAACACCTTCACCTACCTGTAGAAAAAGCTGAATTCCCATATGTGCTTCATTTGGAAATGATGTACAGTAGGTACTTTCATTCACAACCCTTCTGGGAGAAAGTGTTAGAGACCCTTAATGAGGTATGTGACTTACAGCTGAGACTGGATCCCGTGCTGCTATTATTGGAAAAAGTTGATGATCTGGAGACAAGCCGCTATACCACGTTTTTATTTTCCATACAGAATTTATGCAAGACAAGAAATTCTAATTCATTGGAAGCTGCCTACCCCTTCTATCCTAACTGCCTGGAAAGCCACTTTTAATAGAGTCCTCCCCAGGGCTTTTTTCTCAAAGAATAGGTGTAGGAACTCCCCCCTTCTGAGTCACTTCTTGTCTTCGCCCCCTGCCCACCTCTGAGCACCATCCCTTGGTTCCACCCCCTACCCACCTCCCAGTACTGTCCCTTTTAGAGAATACAGAGCCAAGTATCATTTTGTGGTGCTAAGTAATTTGTATGAAATTTGTTATTGATAACAAGAAAAGCCGTAAAATAGATCCACCGCAGCTAGCAGCAATAGATTCCCCCCCCCCAGCAACAATAAATTCCACCCCAGAAATAATAGACCCCTGGCAGCAACAACAGATTTCCCATTAGCCAGCATCAACAGACTCCACAGCAGCCAGCAACAAAAGACCCTTAACTCAACAGTAGATCCTTTCCAGCAACAACTGACCCCCAGCAACAATAGATCTCCTCAGCAACAATAGACAGCCACACAAATAGATGTCTTCCAGCAACAATAGACTCCCTCCCCCTCAACAGTAGATCCCTTTCAGCAACAATTGACCCCCTCAGCAACATAAGCCTCCCCAGAAACAATAGATCCCCCACCAGCAACAATAGACCTTTGCAGCAACAATAGATAATCAAGCAATTATTATTATTATTATTATACAGTATTTATAAAGCGCCAATAGTTCGCTCAGTGCTGTACATTACAAAGGGGGACAGAACATGTGACAGAACAATACCAATACAATGCAAAACATGAGGGGATCGAGGGCCCTGCTCTTTCGAGTTTACAATCTAGGAGGGAGGGGATGGTGGCACAGGAGGAGATAGCTGTGGGGGATGGAGTGGTAGGAAGAGTGGAGGAGGTCGGCAAGTTAGCAGGGGGTGGGGTAGGCTTCCCTGAAGAGATGGGTTTTCAGGGTGCGCCTAAAGGAGAGGAGAGTAGGTGATAATCTGATGGGTTGGGGCAGGGAGTTCCAGAGGATGGATGACACCCTGGAGACGTCCTGGAGGCGGGCATGGGAGGAGGAGACCAGGGCACTGAATACTGAGGTTTTCGCTTAGAAAAAAACAACCTATTCAATAACAATTTTTGTCTTAAAAGAAAAACACAATAACAGAGCATACACTGACCACCAGCACAAGGGGGCAAAGTGCCACTGACCACCAGCACAAGGAGGAAAAGTGCCACTGACCACCAGCACAAGGGGGGAAAAGTACCACTGACCACCAGCACTAGGGGGCAAAGTTCCATTGACCACCAGCACAAGGGGGAAAAGTGCCACTGACCACCAGCACAAGGGGGAAAAGTGCCACTGACCACCAGCACTAGGGGGCAAAGTTCCACTGACCACCAGCACAAGGGGGAAAAGTTCCACTGACCACCAGCACAAGGGGGGAAAGTTCCACTGACCACCAGCACAAGGGGGAAAAGTTCCACTGACCACCAGCACAAGGGGGAAAGTTCCACTGACCACCAGCACAAGGGGGGAAAGTGCCACTGACCACCAGCACAAGTGGGCAAAGTGCCACTGACCACCAGCACTAGGGGGCAAAGTTCCACTGACCACCAGCACAAGGGGGATAAGTGCCACTGACCACCAGCACAAGCTAAAATTTTGTGTTTTGTGTTAATAATGAACAAATGTATTAAAGCTCACAGCCAGTCCAATATAAATATCCTGGGCAGTGCACTGCCATGTGAAAACTCAGACGAGTCGTGGCTAATGAGTCGTGGCTTGTGACATCATTGTCTGGCGCTGCTATTCCTTTCTGAGCATGCGCATGGTCCCTATGCGCGCTGTTATCTGTTGCTCGGCTGGCACGACTTGGCTCGCGTGCCAACAGAGAAAGGTCTGCATGCCCGCTGTGGCACGTGTGCCATAGGTTCGCCACCACTGGCCTAGGCGATTCCACTGGAAGTTCTTCCCCCTCCCTTTCTTCTTGCAACCTTCTGGAACACATCATAGTTCCCAGGAGGCTGCTGGACCATTCACACAGTGCAGTGCAGTTCGTGTATGCAAAGCTGGAGGTGAGCTGTGAAGCCAGAAGGAGTCAAAGTCAGCTTCCCATAGTTAACATGCTGGCGTCAGTATTGGTAGCTGAAGACTTATTTTTTTTCGACCAGGGTGAAGAACCTCTTTAGGCTATCTCAACTATATACTGTAAATATAAAGAAAGAAAAATACAAATAAAAATCTTTATTCCTTGTCACAAAAATACTAATCTACTATTATCCAGAAAAAAAGACTACCT